TTTTTTTTTTTTTTTTTTTTTTTTTTTTTTTTTTTTTTTTTTTTTTTTTTTTTTTTTTTTTTTTTTTTTTTTTTTTTTTTTTTTTTTTTTTTTTTTTTTTTTTTTTTTTTTTTTTTTTTTTTTTTTTTTTTTTTTTTTTTTTTTTTTTTTTTTTTTTTTTTTTTTTTTTTTTTTTTTTTTTTTTTTTTTTTTTTTTTTTTTTTTTTTTTTTTTTTTTTTTTTTTTTTTTTTTTTTTTTTTTTTTTTTTTTTTTTTTTTTTTTTTTTTTTTTTTTTTTTTTTTTTTTTTTTTTTTTTTTTTTTTTTTTTTTTTTTTTTTTTTTTTTTTTTTTTTTTTTTTTTTTTTTTTTTTTTTTTTTTTTTTTTTTTTTTTTTTTTTTTTTTTTTTTTTTTTTTTTTTTTTTTTTTTTTTTTTTTTTTTTTTTTTTTTTTTTTTTTTTTTTTTTTTTTTTTTTTTTTTTTTTTTTTTTTTTTTTTTTTTTTTTTTTTTTTTTTTTTTTTTTTTTTTTTTTTTTTTTTTTTTTTTTTTTTTTTTTTTTTTTTTTTTTTTTTTTTTTTTTTTTTTTTTTTTTTTTTTTTTTTTTTTTTTTTTTTTTTTTTTTTTTTTTTTTTTTTTTTTTTTTTTTTTTTTTTTTTTTTTTTTTTTTTTTTTTTTTTTTTTTTTTTTTTTTTTTTTTTTTTTTTTTTTTTTTTTTTTTTTTTTTTTTTTTTTTTTTTTTTTTTTTTTTTTTTTTTTTTTTTTTTTTTTTTTTTTTTTTTTTTTTTTTTTTTTTTTTTTTTTTTTTTTTTTTTTTTTTTTTTTTTTTTTTTTTTTTTTTTTTTTTTTTTTTTTTTTTTTTTTTTTTTTTTTTTTTTTTTTTTTTTTTTTTTTTTTTTTTTTTTTTTTTTTTTTTTTTTTTTTTTTTTTTTTTTTTTTTTTTTTTTTTTTTTTTTTTTTTTTTTTTTTTTTTTTTTTTTTTTTTTTTTTTTTTTTTTTTTTTTTTTTTTTTTTTTTTTTTTTTTTTTTTTTTTTTTTTTTTTTTTTTTTTTTTTTTTTTTTTTTTTTTTTTTTTTTTTTTTTTTTTTTTTTTTTTTTTTTTTTTTTTTTTTTTTTTTTTTTTTTTTTTTTTTTTTTTTTTTTTTTTTTTTTTTTTTTTTTTTTTTTTTTTTTTTTTTTTTTTTTTTTTTTTTTTTTTTTTTTTTTTTTTTTTTTTTTTTTTTTTTTTTTTTTTTTTTTTTTTTTTTTTTTTTTTTTTTTTTTTTTTTTTTTTTTTTTTTTTTTTTTTTTTTTTTTTTTTTTTTTTTTTTTTTTTTTTTTTTTTTTTTTTTTTTTTTTTTTTTTTTTTTTTTTTTTTTTTTTTTTTTTTTTTTTTTTTTTTTTTTTTTTTTTTTTTTTTTTTTTTTTTTTTTTTTTTTTTTTTTTTTTTTTTTTTTTTTTTTTTTTTTTTTTTTTTTTTTTTTTTTTTTTTTTTTTTTTTTTTTTTTTTTTTTTTTTTTTTTTTTTTTTTTTTTTTTTTTTTTTTTTTTTTTTTTTTTTTTTTTTTTTTTTTTTTTTTTTTTTTTTTTTTTTTTTTTTTTTTTTTTTTTTTTTTTTTTTTTTTTTTTTTTTTTTTTTTTTTTTTTTTTTTTTTTTTTTTTTTTTTTTTTTTTTTTTTTTTTTTTTTTTTTTTTTTTTTTTTTTTTTTTTTTTTTTTTTTTTTTTTTTTTTTTTTTTTTTTTTTTTTTTTTTTTTTTTTTTTTTTTTTTTTTTTTTTTTTTTTTTTTTTTTTTTTTTTTTTTTTTTTTTTTTTTTTTTTTTTTTTTTTTTTTTTTTTTTTTTTTTTTTTTTTTTTTTTTTTTTTTTTTTTTTTTTTTTTTTTTTTTTTTTTTTTTTTTTTTTTTTTTTTTTTTTTTTTTTTTTTTTTTTTTTTTTTTTTTTTTTTTTTTTTTTTTTTTTTTTTTTTTTTTTTTTTTTTTTTTTTTTTTTTTTTTTTTTTTTTTTTTTTTTTTTTTTTTTTTTTTTTTTTTTTTTTTTTTTTTTTTTTTTTTTTTTTTTTTTTTTTTTTTTTTTTTTTTTTTTTTTTTTTTTTTTTTTTTTTTTTTTTTTTTTTTTTTTTTTTTTTTTTTTTTTTTTTTTTTTTTTTTTTTTTTTTTTTTTTTTTTTTTTTTTTTTTTTTTTTTTTTTTTTTTTTTTTTTTTTTTTTTTTTTTTTTTTTTTTTTTTTTTTTTTTTTTTTTTTTTTTTTTTTTTTTTTTTTTTTTTTTTTTTTTTTTTTTTTTTTTTTTTTTTTTTTTTTTTTTTTTTTTTTTTTTTTTTTTTTTTTTTTTTTTTTTTTTTTTTTTTTTTTTTTTTTTTTTTTTTTTTTTTTTTTTTTTTTTTTTTTTTTTTTTTTTTTTTTTTTTTTTTTTTTTTTTTTTTTTTTTTTTTTTTTTTTTTTTTTTTTTTTTTTTTTTTTTTTTTTTTTTTTTTTTTTTTTTTTTTTTTTTTTTTTTTTTTTTTTTTTTTTTTTTTTTTTTTTTTTTTTTTTTTTTTTTTTTTTTTTTTTTTTTTTTTTTTTTTTTTTTTTTTTTTTTTTTTTTTTTTTTTTTTTTTTTTTTTTTTTTTTTTTTTTTTTTTTTTTTTTTTTTTTTTTTTTTTTTTTTTTTTTTTTTTTTTTTTTTTTTTTTTTTTTTTTTTTTTTTTTTTTTTTTTTTTTTTTTTTTTTTTTTTTTTTTTTTTTT